GACTCCTGTGAAGAGAGGATTGATTGATTTTCAATAAATTCGCTAATAAGGTGAAACAACAAAAGACGATTACTGGAAGGAAGAATTCACAATGGATATAAAGGCTATGATGGAAGAATTCACGATGAAAATAAACAACGAACCTCTTTTAACCGTAAAATCCCTGAAAACCTCTTTCAGCTGTAAAAGTACTTGCCTTAAAAATAATATTGCCGATGTTTATTTAAACTTTTGTACTATTTTCTGCCGGTACTATAGGTATTTAACTATTTTTTAGTATTTTATTTTATAGTATAATACTCTATTCTTTATTTTGCCTTAAAAATAATATTGCCAATGCTTATTAAAACTTTTACACTCTTTTGCGTTTAGTATTATAGGTATTCACATATTTGCTAGTATTTTAAATTCGTGCGGGTAAATACAAAAATATTGTACCAACGTGCAATGTTTAGCAACAGAATACTGAATGCACCAGTTTGTACTTTTCTCAGTCCTCCAACTTAATTAAAAAAATTCAATTTTGAAGGGCTAATTTTTACAGAGGCATTTAAAATTAAATCGAGCTTTGTTAATTTCGCAGTATTATAATATGAATTCTGTCGTTTATACTTTATTTCTGCAACGTAACGTAATACAATTAACACATACAATTATACATGCTTCCTAGTACAATGATATTACCAATTTCTGTACTTCTTCATTGTATTACAGAAATAATAAAAACTGAAATTATGCATAATGAATGGGAAATTACGGGAAATTTATAGCTCGCAATGTACTCCCCGATAGAGATTGTAAATTCTACCTGTACATCTTTGTATTATACAATATAACAGACGATAGTACGGTATATTTGGGTTTAGGTTACAAAAAATTGGTAGATACATTAAAAAGTAAAATGTCAGAAAATAAACACCTCACAAATATACTTCATCTATAAAGAATTGTCCTTTAATAAACGACAAGTGTTTGTGTTCCCTTTCCGCGCAAACACAGCCGCAAAACCTTTGCTCTTGGTCACACCCTTTTAAAATTCGTCTCATTGTATCAAGGTAGAAGTGTACGAAATACAAAATTAATACGAAACTATACCAACAGTCTCCAATAGCACAGTGCGAGTAAACTTTCAAAGCACCTATAGGCGCCAACAGCAATGAAAGGGTTAAAAAAAGAAACCTATCCTATTCTCTTCTCCCAAAACAAACAGGTGAGAAAGAAAAGGGAAGCACGGGATTCCCTGAAACCCTGAAATAGATATCACGGCCCCGTGTGATCGTTCACCGTCCGCCGTTAATCACGCAACAGGATTTTAATTAAGTCGGCCGTAACTTGGCGGGATGAACGTGTCAAGCGATACAACAGCGCGAAGGCAATCTTGTATAAAGTCGCGAGCAAGTCTGTCTGAATAATTAAGCGACGATGCAACTTGGTTCTGGGTGGTGGAAACCAAGTCGGGAGACACCTGGAATCGGTTATGAAAGAAAATCCGTTCTGCAACCTGCGAGGCAAGCCACTTAACACCAGGTTCGGCTCACAAGCGTGAGGATGACTGTCTCCTGGGGTTTTTCCTAGGCCTGATTCCCGCAAGGAGAGTGCAGAAACGTTGCTTGTGTTTGCGAGACCACTGCAACGAGTGCCTTGGCACCACGAGACCTTAGTTTTGTAGAAAATACAGTGCTCCCTCGAAGAATTTTTTTCAAAATTTTTTGTACATATCATCTAGCACACTGTTCCTTCTATCTTCTCAAAAACACTCAAGTCGTTAGGTCCAATTTTGAGAAAGTTATACTGTTCTAGAGTGTCCGAATATTAGTGGGAGACACGGTATATGCACTGTGTGTCGTAACTATAAACCACCTCAATATTCTCAATTCCGATATATTGTGGTTAAAATAATGACAAACAAAGTATGTCATGTTTTAAGGTCTATTGATTAACAATGTTTCCCCAGAAAAGGATAGAATATGTATGATTCTCGAAGAAAAAGTAAAAAAGAGTAAACACTGACTGAGGACGAGTCGTCCTACCCGATTTCTGCTTGCTGTGTACACTCGCAACTGTTCTTGGAAAAATTCTTAAGCCTTAACTCCTTAGAACTCGTGATATTTCTTGCGAGCCAAACATAAGAAACGCGAGTCAGAGTCGTTGTACGTGCATGAACCAAAACATAAACCTTAGGTGTCCTTTTGAGAGCGAAACTATCGCGAGTCGCTCTCGAGTATTTCTCGCGAGAGGACACTGCGTCTGAGAGTCGATGTATCGCGACTTGTTATTGAATGGATACACAATCGTATTGTTGTCGGGCAGTTGCTTCGCAGACACGAAGCAGTTTGGTATTCTTGAGAGGAGCTCTCGTGCGAGTGAAATTGAAATTCGAAGTGAACGTCGGTAATTTTCAAGAAGAAAAATTCGTGTGTAATCGAAACGATTGTGCGTAATCGCGTTTTTCAAGGGAGCACTGTGTATTCAGTTCCCACGAGTTAGAAACTGTTGCGACTCGAGTATAGCGAGGTTCTCCCTCGTCGCGCTCTCACGAATAAATTGATATCGAGAGAGTTCACTAAATGAGAGAATATTTAACTTCTAACATCTAAGCGTCTTCTGTGTTCCATATTTATATCTATACGTGCATACGATTGAATTATTCAACGAGTTCTGTGTGATCGAGTTGTCGATAAGTTCTGTTCGTTCGCTTTGTGTTTTGTCTCAAAGCAAATTGTGTTGTGATTGATCAGTGACTAATTCATATGACTGAGTGCCTTTTTCTCTCATTGGTAGTTATATCACTGGTGTTACGAAAGGGCAGTAAGAGTTTTTGTTTGTCCAAAAATCTTGAGTGTGGTCTCTGGCTAGTAAACAATCTCGACAGCTAGCAGTAGACTTGTTTTACGGTGGTCGAACGGTCGAAGGCTCAGCGTGTAGTAAATGCTCAACAGAAACGTTCGAGTAATTTCGCGGTCGTCCTAGTTTCGCCTCAAACCGTTTTTCGACAGTTGGAATTAAGCTTCTCCCGCGTGAACACGTGTCGAAAAGACGACTGGCAGTGGTGATGACGACGTTATCGAAATAAGCATAGAAGAGTGTCAGAGGACGAAGAAGCGATATCTCGTGGCGCGTAATAGGAACGGCAAACGAGCGATCGGGACGCAGGATGGCTCGATTGAACGTCATTTATTTACAGCGCTGCGTTTGACGCCCTCGGTTAAACGATCTCGGTAAAATGGCTCTCGAGGCCAATCAAAGCGTAATAGAATGTTCTGGATAAATTGTATGCTCGACGCTGCCTCTATAACGGCGCACCGTTTCAAAAGCATCACGGATTAGCGAATAACTATAGCCCTCTGCCGATGCTCGATGGCCTGTCTCTACTACGATCCCGTGATAGTTACCACCAGAAAGAAGTAGTTTTATACACCAATGATGTATCGATTCAATTTTATCACGTTCACGTCAATATTTTTTCCTACGTGTTTCCATCGGCTAGATCACAAAGGTATTTCTAAGTATTCCGGCTAATAAGACTGCTTCCGAAATTGTGTGCGCTGAACGACAACTTGAATATAACAAACTCGAATTCAATCCATTAAGAAACAAGTGAAAGATATCGTCGTCTCATTAACTTAACTGACTTCACCGGGCGCATTACCATAATTACTTGCACTTTCAATTAAAAATAATGTCGGGACGCTTCTTGCTCCCCGCTTCATACTGTACCTCGAACTTGCGCTGTGTTAATCTTTTTCCTACTTAGTTTGTTCACTGAATATGTACACTACACATGAGCTTAATCGCGTAATGCAAAAAGGCGATACACCTCAATTCGTTTCGTTCGAGTAATTTTAAATTCGAACTTTCGAAGTTTGTCATTCTAATTTCTTTTTTTCCTATAGTTACTCTCGGTTTTACTGCATTTTAGTCGACGAGATTGAACTTTTGAGCGGTAGTGTACATTTCTGTGTTTGTGGCATTCGTTTCCTTGCTACAAAATTCACCGACAATTCACCTAATTCCTGACTTCCTCTCGGCTTCGGCAACATCCTTTCGGTATTACAAGCCTTACAACCTGAATCGAAAATTCACGGAACGCACGTCGACGGAAATCATCGCGTAACTTCGGAAATTTCTTTCGTGGCAGATCCATCGTGTCCGCGCGTTCAAAGGTGTCCAACTGTCGCTCGAAATCCGTGGAATCTGTTCATCGGCATAAGCATTACCGTCTACCCGGGGACGTACAGCTGCCGATACGTGTCGGATAGTCGAAATCGGGCTTTAATCGCGTCTCTTTTTCACGAATTTATTGGAAACGCCGTATGTTTTATTCAAAACCCCCACTCCTCTCCTGTCCTCCCTCTCCGAGTGTACTCTCGTCGCGGCACAATAATCGAGAGCTTTCGGGGATGATTAAATTTTCAACAGCTCGCCTGACAGAATTCCCTTCCTCGCGAGAGAGAAGATCGACATAGAGTGACAGAGAGGGAAGAGGGGAAAGAGAGAAAAGAGAATCGTCGCATTCATTATCGCGGTTCCCACTGATTTTTCTCTCCTCTGTACTCCTGTCCCGACCGAAATTCGTGTTCAACCAGGCTGAATGATGCGCGTTTCAGGCCCGTTTCACGTCAGCCTCGATCCTGTCATTCCTCGTCGAAAGAGTTTCAACCCTTCTGTTATACAGCGCCGTTATCGATGCTGTAATTTGCGATACGCGCTTATTGATACTGTAACGGAATTTGTAGTATCAACAGCATAGTACATTTATAAGAAAACATCTTTAACGTAATGTTGAACACGTGACAAATACACTTGGTGAATAAATCTAAGGTGAATCTGGAAAATTAATTAAATCCTCGATCCAGTGGTTTAGTCGAAATTTTCATCAGTGGCAAATTCCGAAACTACAAGAGCAATTGACGTTAAGTCACTGAGATATAGATAGTCTTATCCTCTAGTCAGCAGCGCAGTAAATTAAGACAAGACTAACTCAGTAAATTAGGGCTGTATTAAGGTGGCGGAGTTCTCCTGTTGTCCTTAACCAGGCAGAAACCTGTGACAAGGAACCGAGACTCCCGTATAGAATTATCCAAGTCCACAGATTCTCTGGAGCATCTATAGATGCAGTGACCCTCTGGGAAACCTTTAACAGCTCTGTAGCGAACCGTGCGGAGTCGAAAGCTGAGGTGGCTTAGCGAGCGTATAAACAGCGAAGCGGTAAAAATCACTGGTAAAAGAGACTGATAGACGAATATCGAAAATAGTGTTGACATTTTTAAATAATAATATTTTATCAAATAACTGCGCGATCTCTGAGCAGAAGTTGCAACGATCCAGTGGATGGTACTTCGGCTCTTTATATTTAACCCCTTAACCTGTAACAACGAGTCAGACTCGTGACAGAAATTCTAGTCAAGATATAACAAAAGTAATGATATTAACAAGAAAAATTCATTGTAATCCTAACTTTCGTTTTAATTTGTAACACTGAGAATTACTAAATGTAATTAATCCATAACAGATTAGCTTTTGTTACTTGATACAGTACCGAAACACTAAATGGGGCTAATCCTTTACCTAAGCTTGATCTGTAATCTTTATTTTTCATAAAAGAAAAAAAGGTATCATTTTAACAGGTGTTAAGAAACATTAAAAATATCCACTTTTCAGATATCCCCTATTTCATGGAATTCCTATCTGGAGAAAATGTTTCGGCCCACGCTATCGTCCCTTACCCCACGGGTCTGGTGAAAATAATTTTCCCAACCCTATAACTGGGCAATATTCAAACATCGAGTCGGCGAAAAAAATTTCCCAGATAGGTAGCTTTATACGCAGCGAGAAGTTATGCCTGGTACGTTGTAAAAACAAATATCGCGACGGTTTCCCTTCTCGAGGTTTAAAACGAGCAAAACCCTCTTTTGCCGGGTGCTCGATTCATTGAAAAATCGACGAGATTGAGTATCGGGAATTTACGAGGTTTTCATCCCTATTTAGCGTTATAATTCTTTGATATTTCACGAGCGTTTCTCGAGCAATACATACATATGTATTGCCTTTAACCTTTTACGTTCCACAGGAATTGAACGTAGAAACATTTCTAGAGTGTAGAAATATTTCGAGAATAATTGGGAAATTGTTACGCTTACATTTTTCGAAGAGATAATTGTATTCATCAGGCGGCAATTCTTTTCTGTTAACAAGCACAATTCTCTTTCTCTCACTCTCTCTCATTCTTCCTGTGTCTCATTAAAAAGGAAAAGGAAAAAGGAAGAACGAGCGGAAGAATCGTACGATTGAAAGCGAATCGAATAAAAGCTCCCGTCGCCTTTTGATTCGTATTATTTGCGATTACACCCAATTGGAAGCGTCGCGCGGCCGAGGAAATTAAAAATCGCAGAAATCCTCACCACACCATTAGGTCGTACGTCGTTAATGAAGTTTGAAATGAATGCACGCTTGATATTGATCACAGGCGGATTAAAAGTGAATAGAGGGCGGCAGATAAATTGCAAATCCAGATTCGAACCGTGGCACACCGAGAACGTTAAATCGAGTTATGCGCGTACGACGCGTCCGCCCGAACAAAAAGGTTAATAAGCTCGTGTTTGCATCGACGACAAAATGAAAAATGGAATTCGACCTGTTATCAGGCCAAGCCCGCAGAAAAAAAGTGTCTTGAAATGAACGGAAATTTCGAAAATCACAGCTGTTCGTTTAATAAAAATGCCATCGATTTATGAGGAAATACCGTTTTATATCGTTCAGAAACATTCGCCAGGAATGTGAAACGGTTATTGACGCATCCTTTAATTACTTTTTCCTTGAAATATATTTTTTACCTAATATTTCCAGTATCGATAGGAATTGTATTTTTTTTTTTTTTTTTTTTTAAACTTTCTA